GGGTTGAGTATACCCTCCTCTTATAGTTGAGCCTTGATTGCTTTTGGAAAATCAATGGGAGAAATTTACCCAGGCCAGTCAGCTGCAAAGATTGGCTCAGATCATCAACCTCTGCCCTCTGTGGAGGGTCACCTATGCAGGAGCCAGGTGGTATTGCTTGTGGTCTGTAGCTGCCCACTGGGTGCATATGGTCTGGGTTTCCTGAGTGGTGCAAGCCAAGGTTAGCCCCCATCAGTGTTCTGTCCAGGGCCACCCTGCCCGAACTATAAAGCATTCTGAGATGGATGCTACTTGTACTGGGCTTGGAGATTTCTAGGTAAAGCCGAGCTGTGAATCTAGGCTGGCTGCTGTTAGTGCTGGGCTTGGGGCCACTTAAGAGGTATGAGAGCTTACTGAGGCCAGCTGTTGCATGTTTGATAAGATTTTGGAAGTTGTGAAGCATAAGCCAAGATCAGCCATTCATATGGAAAAGTCACAGTTTTCAGCTTGGCTGAGGCCATAAGTTGGGCAGGAAGAGCCTCATGGGATCTTCAGGTTTGGGCAAACAGTGTTAGCTAGGTTGATGGAGTCTCAGATGTGACATCTACCTGACAGATCTTTGGCTCTGTTGGGGCAGTTTCAGAAAAGGGACAGCAGCCTCTCTCTGACATTCCGTCTGGGAGAAAGCTGTCCCCCAACTCTAACCTTTATGCCACACACTTCAGTTCCTCCTTGTATGCCACTGGTACCTTTCAAACTGCTACACCAGTGCTGGAGCTCAGAGGGAGTGAGTCTGAGTAAGTCCGTGTGTGGTTTCTTTAAGGCCAGCTGCTTGAGACTCCAGAAGTTTCTTCTACTGACTCAATTTCTGCTGGTTTTGCAGCCAGAATTTATGGTGATTTTTCTCCTGGCACTGGAACCCTGGGGGAAGGTCTGGTGTGGGGCTGGGGCCTCCTCATTCTTAAGATATTCCTTCTGAATTTTTTTCCAGTAATAATGTAGATGTAGGACTAGCACATTCTACCTCTTTACCACTCCCAGTTTGGATGGATGTGGTTTCTTTAATTTCATAGTTATCAGACTTCAATTCAACTTGATTTCTACTGGTTCTGAGTAATGGTTGTTCTATATTTTAGTAATTTTGATGTGATTGTGTGAGGAGGCAAACTGTGTTTACCTATGCTGACATCTTGACTGGAAGATGGCTCTTAATTACCTTTCAATTAACACTTGTTCTTATCTACTCTTGGGAATGACTTTCAATAAATTTTTAAGTATTTAGTAAAGTTCTCTCAATAATCTCATTGAGATGTGGGTTTGTGATTATATTATGTCTGCTAAATGAAGTGAAAAGAATCAATATCTTTCAAGTTTTTTCTCTAATGGGAAACTTGAACTGTTTCTCACTTTATTCATAACTTCTTTTTGTATACTTCTCAGAACTTTTACATTTAGTTTTAATAATCCTCACCATTCTTCTTAGGAATGTTGTTAGATATTTTATTTTTTGCCACTGTTGTGAATGAGACCTTTTCCCATAATGATTCCCAATTATTTGCCACTGAATCAAAAGGAAACTATTGATTTTTTGGCTATTACTCTGTATACTGTCACTTTGTTGAGCTTTCTTATCAATAGATACAAGGTTTTCCATTGACTTTTATTAAGGTTTTAGTTAGATTATCATCATTCACAGTCAAGTTGATTATTTGGAATCTTCCTTCTCATTAGAAATGCTTATTTCATCTTCATGTTACATATTAGAGGTCAAAACAATTGCTTGGTTTATTTAAGTGCATGATTTGTCTTAAATGGCAAAATAGAATGTTTATATTCAAGCTTTCTGCCAGAGACTAAATGTAATTTGACCTGGCTACCATTTGACTGTTATCCCCAAAATCAAGAGAAATGTTGCTTATGGTGTGCAGTTTAAAGGACATGAATTAATTCTCTGGTAGTTTATCTATCCTTAGATCAAAATAGATAGATCATCAGAGAACCACACTGTTTGCTCCACATTTTCCTGACCCAACAGAATTCCCTTTGCAAAGTTTTGCTTTGTCTTCCTCCCTCGATTTGTATCAGGGATAGTATAAAATCACCTGAAAAATCCATTACAATTATTTTAAAGGATTTTTTTAGGCCATTGTGCATGTCATCATTTAGTAACTTCAATTTAAAGAAAAACCTGTAATAGAAATGTCTTCAATACTACAGTCCCAGAAAAAAAATGGTGTAATTATTCATGTTAGATTTCAGGGACCCTAGTCCTTAAAATTATACAAGCTAAAGTGTTGTGTGGCTCACTAAGTTGTCCACATGGGGCTCTGAGAGCAGAAGGTTTGGATTAATTTATTGAAATCTGGGCCTAAATGTCTAAGCAGATAATTTTATATCAAAACTAGGCTTGTTCCTTATGGAAAATAGGAAAATTGAAAAAGTCAAAGGAAGGTTTCTTTACAAAGCAAAGCAAACAATAGCTGTCTGAATCATTAGTAAAAGTACATATGCATATGAAAATACAAAAACAACAGACATACTGAATCTAGAATCCTCTAATGGGAAAGTGCTTTATGATCACAGCTTTGGCTTCTATGAATGATTATTACCAGGAATAGCCCTATAAAAATTTCTTCCAAATATATTATAAAAAATATTGTCAAGAATGCTATCCATTGTTCAATGTCTCAAACTTAAGGTCTCAGATAAAAAATTCCATTCAGGAGCCTAGTTACAGGAAAGCTTTGATTTCCTTTTTCAATGTTTGCTCCTTTACAGTGTTAACTTTGTTTCCTTTTTCTTCCTCCACCTTCTCATTGCTAAAAAGCTCAGAACAAAACTTGTCACTTAATTGGAGCAATGATATGAGCCCTCAGTGTTGACTTATTATTTATTTTCATGTTTCTAATTTTCTCTTATTAGATGATTATCTTTATCATTAATCATTCCAAATCTTTTGGGAAAAAAGGCCAAGTATGTATGATGTTTTGTTTGCTGCTGTTAGATGGCTGTTTTTAATGGCTCAAATAAGGTCTATGACCAAGATAGTAAGGACAGTCAGGAAAGACACATGTTGGACACGTTGCTGGAGCAGTCCCACTCCTGCAGTTAACTGAAGACAGGGCTGGCAACTCAGCTGGATAATTGAAGAAGCCAGCCAGGTTCCTCATGGAGAATGCATGCCACTCTAATGGAGGCAGCTGTCACTCAGCTCTTAAGATTAGACTAATTGAGATAATGCAAACTTGGGTTACCATATTGTACAATTTTTCAAGAAAACCTAAAATGCAATATATTAAAGGTAATCCTGATTTTTGAAATGTTGGCAACTAGTTCAAATTCTTTAAAACATTCTGAACCAGCAGAAGATAGAATAGTGGTTGACAAGGAAAAGGGGAAAATAAGGAGTTGTTTTTTCATGGGTATAAAGTTATGGTTATAAAAGATGAATAAGCTCTAGAGATTTGCTGTACAGCATAGTGCCTACAGTTAAAAAATACAGTATTGTACACTTAAAAACTTGTTAAGAGGTTAGATCTCATATTGAGGACTCTTACCACACACAGAAAGGAAAAGGACACACAGGGAAATTTGTAAAGGTGATGAGTATGTTAATTACCTTGATTATGATAATGATATTATGGGTATGAACACATGTCCAAAATCATCAGATTGTATACATTGAGTATATGCAGATATATATATATATTTAAATATATATACTTAAACCCAAAAACCCTAGTAACCTTCCCTTTACAACAATTTTGCTTTCCATGGTTTCAGTTACCCCTGGTTAACTGTGGTCTGAAAATATTAAGTGGAATATTGAAGAAGTAAACAATTCACAAACTTTAAATTGCAAAACCTTAATTCATTAAGTTTTAATTGTTTTAAGTAGCTTGATGAAATCATGTGTCATCTGACTCCAACTTGCCCAGGACATGAATCATCCTTTGTCCAGCACTTCTACACTTTATATGGTCCCTGTGCATTTGTCACTGAGTTATCAGATTGGTTATCAGATTGGGACTTGGTTATCAGATTGACTATCATGCTATCACAGTGCTTGTGTTCAAGTAAACTTTATTTCACTTGATAACAGCCCCAAAGCACATGAGTAATTATACTGGCAATCAGTATGTCAAAAAGAAGCCTTTATGTGAAAAGGCATGTATGTATAGAAAAAACACAGTATACAGAGGGTTCATTGCTATCTGCAGTTTTAGGCATTCACTGGACAGACCAAGCCACCATCTATGGACCATACCAGGGCCTTGGGCTCTGAGACATCTGGGAACAGATGTCAGGAACCTAGTTACCAAGGAGACAAAATAGGAACTTTGCCACCAGGGAACTGATGTCATAATGGTGCCAAGGAGCACAGTGACTTAAACCTCAATAATAAAGCTCTTAGCCTGAGAAAATCAAGAGTTTTTGAGCTCTGTCTCAGATTTTGTGAGCATTTATTAGGAAAAAGGGACCTAGACTTGAAATCTGGAACCGTAGCCTTGATCTCAGGGTTGCCACCAATGAATCAGGTTGTCAGGCCCATGGGACTTCCTGAATCCTCCATAGCACTCCCCACATAAGGTTAGATATGATATGTGAATCTTTCAGATTCTTTATTTATAAAAATATCAGAAACCCAAAATATATGTGAACATGAGAACTTTCCATTTTTAAATTATGTACTTCTAGAGAACTGTCTAAATTTCCAACATCTCTGCTGACAAAAATTGAGCTGAATTTTCAATTTTCAAGGGTGAGGAAAAAAAATCAAGATAAAAAAAATAGGGGACAGCTGGAATCCAATCTCCACCAAAGGAAATTCTAATATCATACTTTTCTACCAAGAAAAATATGGTCATAATATACTTGAGTGCTTTGACTTCTTTTTGAAATGGGCACAGTTAACATCTATAATTTATAAGTAAGTACCATTTGGACATGCAATTTTGTTATACCTCTTTTTTATAAACAAAAAGTCACAAGCTGACTCTTTGCAACGCTTTCAGAATGCACTACTTTAATTCTTCAATGATCGTTTTGAGTTTTTCCTCAAGGGCGCCACAAAATTCACCCACCTTTTCTTCTTTTTTGTAAAACTGAAAGGTTGGAATGCCAATGATCTCACAGTCTTTCACCACCTCCTCACACTCATCAATATCCACTTCCAGGAACACTACATCCTCATGCTTCACAGACAGGGAATGGAAAAGGGGCCTGATGGTCCTGCAGGGTCCACACCACATGGCTGAGAAGTCCACAGCCACTAGCTTCTCTCCAGCCTCCTTGAGCGCCAACTCAAAATCCTCTTTGTTCAGGATCACTTTCACCATGTTGACCTCCAAGAGCTCCAGTGTTTCTTCTGCTGGGATGTCACCTTCTACTGGCTGAATGGTTTCTTCTGAGGATTCGATGGTTTCACCCTCCTTGGGCTGGACGGTTTCTTCTGGAGGTTTGGAGGTGTCACTCTGCCTTGGTGAAATGTTTTTTTCTGAGGAGTCAGAAATGTCACCCTCCTTGGGTGAAATGAATTTTTCTGAGAGCTTGGGGGTATTGCCCTGCTTTGGTTGGATGTTTTCTTCTGGAGATTTGGAGGTGTAATCCTGCTCGGGTGAAATGTTTTTTTCTGAGTTGGAGATGTCACCCTCCTTGGGTGAAATGAATTTTGCTGAGAGCTTGGGGGTATTGCCCTGCTTTGACTGGACAGTTTCTTCTGAGGATTTAGGGCTATCACCCTGTTTAGGTGAAATGGTTTTTCCCGAGAGATTGGGGGTTTTGTCTTGCTTTGGCTGGATGGTTTTGGCTGAGGAAATGGGTGTGTCAGCCTGCTTGAGCAGGATGGTTTTTTCTGAGAAATTGAGGGTGTCATCCTGCTTGAGCAGGACGTTGCTTTCTGAGGAACTGGGGGTGTCAACCTGCTCGGACGGGATGGCTTTTGCTGAGGACTTGGAGGTGTCAGCCTGCTTGGGCAGGATGTTTTTTGCCGAGGATGTGGGGGTGTCAACTTGCTTGGATGGAATGTTTTCTTCTGAGAAATTAGGGGTTTTACCTTCTTTAGACAAGATGGTTTTTCCTGAGGACCTGAGGATGTCATCCTGCTTGAGTGGGATGGTTTTGGTTGGGGAATTGGAGATATCATCCTGCTTGGATTGGATGTTTTTTTCTGAGGAATTAGCAGTGTTACCCTTTTTATGGAAGATGTTGTTTTCTGAGGAATTAAAGGTGTTATCTTCTTTAGGCAAGATGGTTTTTCCTGGGGAACTGCATGTGTCACCCTGCTTTGGTGGGATGATTTTTGTTGAGGTATTGGGGGTATCACCTTCCTTGGGTTGCATGACGTTTGCTGAGGAACTGGAGATGTCACTACCCTGCTCAGGGAGGAACGTGTCCTCTGGCTGTGGAACTTTGGACTCCTCTGCAGGTGTGTGTTGTTTGTTGCTGACGTCATGGGCAAAGGCCTTTTCCTGGGTGAGGGCTGGATCCAAGAACTCTGGGACCAAGAGAATCACATGGCTGGACAGAGCCTGTGATAGTGGACTCTCTGAACAAAAAAGCAAATAAAGTAAAATGCAAAAGAAGAAACAAAAAAATCTCTGATCATATATTTCACAGAAGACTTGTGTCATTCTTAGAGCTCACAAATGTAGTCTTATGAATGAACGTGATTAATTTAAATAATCACATTCAACAAAAGGCCAAGCATCATGTAAACACATGTATCCTTTATGTAGGGTTTTTTTTAAGATTTTATTTATTTATTTTTAGAGAGGGAAGGGAGGGAGAAAGAGAGAGAGAGAGAAACATCAATGTGTGGTTGCTGGGGGCCATGGCCTGCAATCCAGGCATGTGCCCTGACTGGGAATTGAACCTGTGATGCTTTGGTTCACAGCCCGCACCTTTATGCAGGTTTTTTAAAATTACACTTTTCTCAGCTTAGTCCTACACTACTGCCTACTCCCTAAGAACATAGGTCCCTTAAGGCAACACTTTTCCCTCCCTCTTACCATTAGTATCACCTTCATGTGTTTCTGCTTGTTTTTCTGGCCTCATTTTCGGTTCTTCTGGGGTTCCAGCTTTATCACTTTCCATTTCTGGTTCTTTTGCCTACATTCACTCCTACTTCATAAATGCCTCACAGTGAAGACAAAGCCATACCCTCCAACTTTTTCCAACCTACCCAGCCTAACATCATATAGGGAATAACATCTTACATTCGAGTAGTACTTACAGATGGTTTTCCCTCTCTGTACTCACAACAGTAATATTTGAGAATTTCATGACAGCCTTGATTATGGTGACCATCCTGTCCTTGAAGGCTTGCCTAGTGCCTGATATACACTCATAGGCAGTATTTCCTACAACACAACAAACTACTGAGGTAAGTACCATTATGATCCTTCACTTTACAAGTGAGAAATTTGAGCCTTAGAGAAGTTGTATAACTCACTCAAGGTCACAAAGCTGGTATGTGGGGCAGGTTCCAAACTCTCACTCTGAATACTACACTGTGCTATACTGTTTGCCAAATGTCCTGTCCAGGATGGGTAACTTGAAACCAATTTTCCTGCAATCTCCCTCTAGGATTCTCCAGCTCCAGCTTTCACTTTACAACTTACCCACTGTAACCATCTACTAAGCGACTCCTCCTAATCACATTGACCTCCTCTGCAGAGTCCTGCCTAACTAACAAATGCCTTGTTTGAGCTATTTGGATGGGAGTAGATTGTGATACAGAAGGATTCCCTAACTCTGAGGAAGAAATGAAAACCTAACCCTTTCCATCTTAATAGATGAGGAACCAAGAGAACAGATACATGTGTCCTGGCCTCCCTTCTGCAGACTGAAACTTTAGAATGGATGCAGGTTAGATATTTTCTGAGGAAAGCTGAAAATATCACTCTCTGGAGTAAGTTCCTGGCCCCACTGCCTGCCGGGCACATGCCAGGGCTCTGGAAGTCCTGCATTCTCCAGAGTGGGGCTGTGAGTGTTCTAAGAAGGTCAGAGAACCAGGAGAATATATTTTGAATATTTTCCATGTCAAAACAGTTTTGTTTATAGCAAGAAACAGCAAACTTCCACAGCAAACTTTGCTGTAAAGGGCTAGAGAGCAACCATTTTAGACTTTGCAGATTACATGGTCTCTATTACATTACTCAGCTCTAATGTTGCAGCATGCAAGCAGCTGCTGTGGGTTGAATTGTGTCTTCCAAATTTCTTATGCTGCACTTTTAACCACCTATACAGATAAAAAAGGACTTTGATTTTATCCATGATATTAAATTTCCTTTTGCTTCATTAAATATATATATATATATCACACATATTTAGAAATAAAATGTTAACACTTGTTAATTTTGGGTGGTGAACATACCTACATGGATTTGTTGCATTAATCTTTGAAATGTTTTATATTTATAAGACTTTGTGGAAAACACCAGCTAGGAGTTATACATTCTGATGTGGGATGATAAGCAACTGGACAGGGACTGTGGTAGGCTGTGGGGATGATGTCCCTTGTGCAGATGACTCATGTTACAGTGATATATGTCAACTCCTTGAGAACAGGCAGCTCTGAAGGAATTTAACTAGAAGGTTTAACTACAGTTCTATGTGGGTCAAATTGTGTGTTTGTGAAATGACAGAATATTATTTAAAAAGAGAAGCATTTATCACAGAGAATCACTCTTCATTAAGAATAATTATGTAATCAGATCAACATAGCATAGTGTGTATTTATCTCTGAAATACAAGAATGCTTATGTTCAATGAAAGCCTTCATTTCAGTAATTATGCTAAGTGTAAGATTATCTACACTTCATATTTCTATCCTATTTTTTCTTATTGATATGACTGCTGTTTCAGTATTTTTGACTAAAGTGGTTAGAAAACAACTGGTTGTGTAAGTCATTGAACAGGCCTGGACTCAGTTTCTCTCGGGTTTTACTTGGTTTACTCACCATATCCTACTTTCCTTTAGAACATTCCCCAAATCTGAAAGATGTTGTTGTGGGCTCAAATAAAACAAATAAAGCCATAGATCCATTTAAATGTCTATTAGAGGATTATTTTTTAACCTAGTTTCTCAGTTTAATAATAACAAATGCTGGAAAAAAACTCCTAAAACATTCTAGGTGCTTTGAATGTCAAGGTGGATTGGTGAATTGCTTGCTATTCCTTCTGTTTCCCTGGATTTTCCAAATTTTCAAAAGTTGACATTTTCATAGAATGTTATGGAAAACAAGATGGAGATTCCTAAAAAAAAAATTAAACATAGAACTACCATATAACCCAGCATTTCCACTTTGGCTATTTGTTTTTAAAAATTAAAACAATAATTAGAAATGATATATGCAACCTTGTGTTCATTATTGCATCATATATAAAGCCAAGATGTGGAAAAAACCTAGGTATCCATCAAAAGATGAATTAATAAAGGATATGTGATATTTACATATGGTGAAATATTATATATAAAAGAGAATGGATAAAGATATGATATATATACATATATATGGTATGTGTGTGTGTGTATATATATATCTTGAGACAACATAGATGGTCCTAGAGGGTATTTTGTTAAGTGAAATAGTCAAATAGAGAAAGACAAATACCGTATGATTTCACTTATATGTGGAATCTAAAAACAAACAAACAACAAACAAAACAGAGCAGAAACACTCATAGATACAGAGAACAAACTGATGATTACCAGAGGGGAGAGGGTAGGAGGTTGGCAGAAAAGAGGAAGGAGAATAAAAATAAAAATAGACATTTATATTGGAAAGGACATTATTTTTAAAAATACTGAGTAGATGTGTTTCTACCTCTAAATGACTCATCATGAAGGGGATTTGATGTGATTAATCAGAGTTTATCCATGGTACACATCTTGTGCCTTTGTACCTGGCTCTCTGAGTTCATTATCCTGTGCATTCCTCATTAGTTCTGGACACAGTGGTACCTGTGTTTTGCTCAAAGGAAGGTGTATTATTGACTCTACTCAGTTCCTTTGTTCTAATATTTAACCCCCAACATTTTTGTGGTTGGAAAGATTTCTAGTATAATATTTAAAGCTCTCCTATGTAAATATTTACTGGAAAATTCCATTTGGAGCTGCTTTGGTAAGATCCAGGTTACTTGTAAATTTGATGATGTTTTAATATTAATAGGTGCTACAAAACTTTTAAAATGCACATGAGCCCTCCTAGTGCAAGAACATTGCTCTCTGCACATGGTTCCTGGAATTTCCCATTGCCCACCTTCTAAAGGAATCCAGATTAGTGTGTTAGAGTGTACCTGCCTTCAGAACAAATGGCACCCACAGCAGAGTAGAACAGATCATTTGGTCTCATTGAACATCTCTCAGTGCACTAATTGTAGCTTTGATGTTTGGAGTCATGACACTGAACTTCCTGGGAAGAGCCCAAGATCATTTTTACCATAAGCATGGCATTCAGTGGGTACTTATAAAAGGATAGCTAAAGGCATGAATGGATTACACCAGGTACAGTGGGAAACAATTGAAGATGTACATGAAAACACTTCCTTTAAAATATATTTTTGCTAAAATTATCATTATTAGCATTTGGAAGACCATCATCCCCACACTAACCCCAAAATAAAGAAATAAGAGAAAGGTAAAAACACAAAAACAAAAAAACTATTCCCATAAGATTCTTCCAAACCTTCCATACCAAGTACAAAGTCAGAATATTAAAAACAAATGTTTAAACCAAAAAGGAGTGAAATGTCACATACCCACCTGGCCCCTTTTGTCAACACCACACATTAAGTGAAATGATGTCATATGGCATAGATCTTTCCTTCCCAGTCCTAGTACAAGTTCCTTGAGAGTAAGGGATATTCCATTGGCATCTCCAGTCTTTAACTGGGTGTGCAACACACTTGACACTCAAGAAAAACTTGCACCGTAAGACTGAAATGCCATGTGAGTTTTTCTTTTTTCCCCACCCTCCACAAATTACCTTTCTGGTCTTCTGCTACAGTACTGACTTTAACTTATAGGCTAACCTGCTATGCCAAAGTCTATGATGATTAGAAGAGGGGCTGTTATTCCCTGGGGGATCTGGGAAAGCTCCTAGGAGTATGTCCCACCCTTAGGAAACTGGTGTGCTGCCAAGCAGAAAGGAGCAAATGGTGATGTCCTTCCTAATGGAGAGAGAGCAACCAGGAGGTAGAAGGTGTCAGGAGCATCGGCCATGACCAATGACAGGCAGAAGCAGAGGCTGGGCTCAGATGAGAGGGATATTTCACCACCAGTTACAGAATTGAAATTTAACCTGCAATAAGTTGTCACAGAAAGTTTTAAGGAAGTGACATGATGTGATATAGACATTAGCAGATTCACTGTTGATAGATTTAAAGGCAAACCATAAATTCAAAGAGATCTGTTAAGAAACTATCACAATAGTTGAGAGAAAACATAGTAAAAGCCTAAACTAGGACAGCTGAAAGAGGGTTAGAAAGTTCAAGAAATTCCAGAAATAGATTTTACATAATTTGATAAATGCTTGGGAGGAGATCAAACTGACTCTCAAATGCGAAGCCTGAGTCACTGACAGAATGCAATGCATGATATGCACAGGTAACAAGATGGAGTAGGGTTTGTGTTCCCAGAAGGGACATTGGTACCTGAAGCAGGCAGCTGGGAAGCAAGGTCTGATATCTGGAAAGAAGTCAGGTTGGACCAAAATTTGGAAGCCAGAGGAAATAAATGAAATCATAAAATTAGATCAGAAGGAAGGGGTATAAATTTAGCAGGACCAGGAGTATGAATTTGCAGGGAGTACTTACATTTAAGCAAATAAGAAATCTAAATGCACAGTGAAAAAAGTGAGGGGGAACCATGGCCCAGAAATGAGAAAAGGAGCATCAGGAGAGAGAGGCCAACAGCCTCAAATGCCCACGAGGAAGTGGGGAGAGTGAGAAGAGAGGTCAGTAGGGCAGTTAGATAAGTCATGGATAATTTTTGAAACAGCAATGAAGCATAGCGGCCAAATTCCAGTGAGGAGTGAGTAAGAAATCAAAGACGTAGAAGATCAAGATTCCCTTTTGAAAATGTCATTAGT